ACACACATGCACACACACACACGCATGCACACACACACGCATGCACACACACACGCGCGCGCACACACACACACACACACACACACCCTCCCGGAAACGGTGCAGGGGTTCGCAATGCGGATTCTGGAAAACTCGGCGATGCGTGACCCAGCAGGAGCCCTTCCGTGTCAGGGACAAGGTCACCTCTGAGCAGAGGAAGCTGCTCCTGAAAAGGCCATAGAATCGGAGGAAAACCCATCCATGACATGAAAGGGAACGTGCTTCCGTGTGGGGTTCCTACACCTACGTTTAAAACTCACCGGATGCCCAGGCGGCGAGCCCTCCTGTCCCTCCCAATGAGACAGACCCTGCCCGCAGCACCGCGGCGCCAGGGGGAGGTGGGCACGGGGCGGCTGAAGCAAGGCCAGTGCCCGAGGGCCACCGTGGTCCGGGGCCAGCTGTCTGTCACTTGGAGTGGCAGCAAGGCCGGCGGGCGGGGCCGGGGACCTGTCCCCTCCTCCTCAGGGGAGGCCACGCAGGGCCCGGGTTCCCGAGGATGGTAACGGCTTCTGAGTGCCGAGTCTCCGCCTCAAACCCGGATTTAGACCAATAATCGTAAAAGACCCTTGTCCAACGATACGCCAGCTTCCTGGGGCCGGAGGGGAAGGGGATGGGACACTGGCCCAAGGAATTATCTGGACAAAAAGAAAGGAGCCCTGGCGGTGGCCCAGCTGGCTGAGTGCCACCCCGCCCACCGCCGGGTGGGGGTTCATCCCCGGAGACCCCTGGTCAGGGCACACACCAGGTTGTGGGTTCGATCCCTGGTCAGGGTGTGTATGGAAGGCAACGGATCAATGTTTCTCTCTCACATCGATGTTTCCCTCTTTCTCTCCCCCTTCCTTTCTCTAAAATAAAGAAATCCATGGGAAACACATCCTCGAGTGAGGATTAAGGAAAAAGAAAGAAAGAGGGAGGGAAGGAAGGAGAGAGGCGGTCGGGAGCACTGGGAGCCGGAGAGAGACGGCCGTGCACAGAGGGCCCGTCCGCGGACGTACCGTACCAAGGCCCTGCGGTCGCCAGCCCTGCATCTCAGAACCGTGTCCTGGACTTGGGGGGACCGCGTGTGAACAACAGAGAACCAGCCCCCCCAGCCCGCTGGGCCACAGCCACCACACGGAAGCAAAACTGCAGATGCCAGACTTCTGGCAGAAACACATCTAGTAAAACGGAGCCCTCTCTTACATAACGACGTTTTATTAACACAAGACACCACCCCATCTTAAGTTCTGTGACCTCGACGCTGCACGAGGCACTTCTGTGAGCCCCGTGTCCGCGTCCCGGGACCCGTGAGGTGGGCGGGCACCTCGGCAGGAGCCAGGCCGGAGGGCAGGGACAGTGCCTGAGGCCGGGCTGGAACCCGGGCCTCCCTCCCTGCACAAAACCAGCCCCCGTTTCTGCAGCATCTGTGGGCTGTGCATGTTGCCCACGTGGCTGGTTCACGCCCTGGACCCTGCGGGAGGGAGGGCTGTGCTCCCCACCCTCGTTTTAGGGGCGAGGACTGAGCGGCAAGCTGTCCGAGGCAGCCCACGGTCGCCCGGCTGGCGGGGCACAGCTGGGATCCGATGCAGGTGTTTCCACCCCGGGGCATCGCTTCCCTTCCAGGCTGCCTCCCCTCCAGCCTGGGCCCGACCCCAGGCCACCAGCTCAGTCCTGTGCAGACCCTCAGGCCTCAGCCTTGGACGGAGCCCCTGGGGGCGGGGGTGGCGCTGGGACCGGGCCCCCTGCCCCCCTCGCTCCCCTGCCAGCGGGTCCAGCTCCCACGCTGGCTGCGCTCGGTGCGTTCCCACACGGATGAGACCCGAGGTCAGAAAACACCACGCAGACTGACTCATCCCCGACCGCCTGCCAGAAACAACACCCTTTTACGTAACTCGCTCCCACTCCAGCCTTCCCTCCTCGGGGGCGGGGGGGGGGGTAAGGGGGGGCTGTCAGAGGCTGGTCTTCCTCTCGAGGGCTCTCTGCTTCCAGAAAAGGGAAGCCCGGCGGCCCTTCTGCCCACGGGGTCTGCCCACGGGGTCCCGGGCAGGCCTGCCCCTCCCTGGCCCGGGGGTGCCTTCTGCAGGGGTGGGCGATGTCCGTCTCACACGGGCCCTCGGTCAAAGTCCTAGGCCGACCTGCAGACCAGGCGTGGTCGCCCCCCTCCCCCGCCTCTCCCCGGGGAGCCCGAGTGCCTGACGGAGCACCCGCACCTTTGCCAAGTCGAGCTGCGTACGTGCTGCTCAGACAGCCCTGCTGGGTGTGTCTGGAGGCCAGACTTGGCCCGGGACGGCCGTGGGCAGCCATCTGACACGGAGCAGGCTCTGGCTCCTGCAGCCGGAAGCCATCAGTCCAAAACAGCTCGGCTCGAGTCCCCGGCCATGCTGTGAGGGCCTGTGGTCACCTCAGCACACACATCCCCAAGCAGCTGTACTCGTGAGAGAAACCCCAGCTCTCAAAGTGCCCAGCGTGCACGGACCCTCCCCTGCCCCACGGACAGTCTGTCCCCGCAGGGAAGAGGGGGGAGGGGCTCTGCAGGCGCTGGGGGGCGGACGTCGGGAGGAAGGGACCAGGCGAGGGCTCGGGCGGGTATGTGGATACGCGAGTGCTGGGCGGCTCCCCGAGCCCTGTCTGTGCCAAACGGTAATTCAGAAGCAAATGCTATTTGGTAGCTTCCCACTTGCTGCCAAACACGGCACAGGAAGGGAAGGTTTCTTCTGGGGGCGGTGGGAGGGGGTGGCACCCCAGTGGGAGAAACAGCACAGGAGGCTCTAAGCCACCCCTGGGCACCCGAGGGCGCTGGGCCAGCTCTTGGTCAGAGCAGAGGGCTCTGCATGGAGGGGAGCCGCTTGGAGGGGCCCCAGTGGGGAGGCACTTAGAGGCAACACTGGATGTACCACCTCAGAGGAGGCAGGGCGGGGACAGAGGGTGCTGGAAGATTTGGGGACACTGTCCCCAGGAGGCCCCATGCCAATTCGGTGTCTAGGCATTTCCAAGTTTCAGGGGATGAGGTGACGGATGACAAGTTTCAGGAGAAGGCGCCCAGCAAGGCTGCACTTTGGGTCTTAGCTTTGGGTTCCTATTCACTGCGCCCTCTGGGGTCCGGGCAGTGACGTCCAGAACAGAAGGCCAGGGCCCCAGCAAGCCCCTCCTCGGACAGGGCTGGACTCTCCCACGCCATCCGAACAGGGAGGACAGCCCCCTCCCCCGGGCATCTGCTGGCCCAGCCCGGCTTTCCCGGTCAGCTCAAAGCGGCCTGCTTTCCTTGAAGTTTCCAGGTGAAAGGCGGAGAGCGGTCTAGTCCGTAGCAACTGCGGTGTCTGAGATATAAACATGAACTCTAAGGGGCACACACGGTCTGGGCTCCCTTTGGATCCTGGTGACGGGACCCTCTGTGATCGCGGGTGAAACTGTGCGTCTACTTTATACAAACGTTCGCGGGGCCTCAACCCTGCCCCCGGCCCGGGGCGTCTGCCCGGTGCACGCGCAGCACTGCATCCACGTGCCAACGGAACTCACGTTTGGGAACCAAGTCTGAGTTCTGACCGAACGACCACGACGGTGTCCGAGTTCGCTTTTCAGGACGACAGTGCGTCCTGTTCCCAGACGAGCGTCTGAGACGCGGATGTGGGGAAGCCCCCTGACCCGGCGGAGTGCCTGCTGAGCGTGGCTCCGGAGCAGGAAGTGAGGCTGGCACTGCCCGCCTGGGCGGACCCCGGCAGGGCGGTGGCGCTGATGGCCACGCGCAGCCTCAACGCTCGCTGACCCCAGCTGGTCCTTCGCGACTGCAGACCGGCTTCTCCAAACGAGACCAGCAAGACCAGCAGGACGGAGCCTTGACCCGGCCCCGGGGCTGCGGGAGCCTGTCCTTAACTGGCCTCGGCCGGCCAGGCTCCGCATCATTTTCTCAGGAGAGAGACGAGCCGGAGCCAAGAGGACTCCACGCCAACTCGAGGCCAGAACACATTTTCCTGGAAGCACAGGTCTCGGGAGGCGATGGGTTAGGGTTAGCGTCTCCCCTCCGAGCCTCGGGTCACAGGAGGGGGAGGGAGCGCGTCCTCGGCGCCAGGCCCCTCCTGGTCCTGGTCCTGGTCCTGGCAGGGCACCCGGGCCCGCCCACCGGTGCGCACACGCTCCCCGGAGAGGAAACGCACCCCCTCCCCGGGGGCTGCGCGCTGGAGCTCAGCCGTGGCATTTCATCTGGAGTCTGAGCGTATGAGTAATAAATGTGTGAAAACATGAAACTAATATTCATAATTACTTTACAAGATAAAGAACTTGAAGGAAAAACAGCTTCTGTGTGCGGTGCCACCCCGGCAGGGTACACTGTGAAGCGCACGGCACCACGCCAGCCAGCGCCAGCCCTCGCCCCCGCCAGCCCGCCCCGCCAGCCCGCCCCGCGTGTCCCGTTCCCTTCACGCGGCTGCTTGGCCAGACTCCTGGAGGCCCGGAGAGCCAGCGGGGCCTCCCACCTCTCATCCCCCGCATCTGATCGCCGACCCTCACATCCACCGGCCCCGGAACGGCCTCGCGCAGGGAGGGCTGGTCTCCATTCTCGCCACCCTGTCCCTCCCCCGTCCTCCCGGTTCTGGGTCTTTTCCGCCCCGTGTACTCACTGGGGTGCACCGTGGGTGCCGTGAAGCACCCCAGTGGGAACCGGGCTCTGAGGAGCTGGCACAGTCTAATCTCCTTGGTCACCGTGTGATGGGACCCGTGACCGTGATGGAAACTGTGCGTGTAGGAGCCAACGCTGCCCCAGGTCGGCAGTTCCCTCTGCACATGCTCAGTGTGTCATCCATTTGCAAACGGAACCCCTGTTCTGGAACAAGTCTGTGTGCTGACAGCGACCGCAGCAAAGTGTCTGGGTTCCTCTCTCAGGACGACCCTGCTCCAAGACCAGCTGCTGCTCACACGCGAGTCTCCACACCACGGGGGTATGTGGCTCCCAGCACAGGTGCTCCTGTGCTCGGCAGGGAGGACAAGCCGGCAGCCACGCCCACAAACTGCAGCCACACACAAGCCCATGGCCACGCCCAAGGCCACACCACAGCCACGCCCGAGGCCACACCACAGCCACACCCGAGGCCACCTGCCTCCCTACCTGTATGGTGGTGTTGCCTCCTTCCAGAAGGGCGATGGCCAGGAGGATGCTCTCGTGGAACACGCGGTCGCTGGACGCGTTCATGATGAGGTCGATGACCAGGTTGGAGGCCCCCTCCTTGTCCAGGTGGCACTGGACCTCGGCCAGGCTCATCTCGCCGCGGCTCATGGAGCTGGACCCGGAGCCGCCCCCTGGGAAGAGGAAACATGGTTCTTACCGACACATCGGAGCAGCGGACAGCTACTGGGCATCACGCTGTGCCAACACTTCACGCGTCCACATGTCGATGGTTTCCCCTCAGCCATTCTAATACCCGGAGCTGCCGCGCACAGAGGTGAAGTCGCTTGTCCGCGGACGCCCACCTGTCGCTGCGGAGATGGTACCTGGACCCGGCAGGTGAGACGCAGAGAGAGCAGGGCTTTTCCAGCCCAGACGCTCCCTCCCGCAGCAGGCAATGGCTTGGGCAGAATCACGAAGCCCTGCTTTGAGTTTAAGAGGCAGACCAGACCCAAACCCTCCTTAGAACACTTGGGAGAGCACACAGCCCATCGCGACCCCTTCAGCCCTCTTCCAACAAACCCATCCTGGCCCAAGCTCACCCTCTCACAAAACCTATCCGTTCATTCATTCATTCACTCGGCAACCGGCAACGATGTACTGAGTGCTTGGTGTGGAGCCAGGAGCGGGGGGCGGGGCGTGAGCAAAACCAATGAAGCTCCCGTCCTCGGGGACCTTCAGAGGCTCACGCCTTCAGGGAGCAGGGCCTGCGTTTGGAAAGTGTCCGTTTGAGAACTTTCCTTGCACTGTCAGTGGCAAAAACTGAGATGCTGTCCGTGGGAAAACGGCCCATCAATTTCAGAAAAACAGAGAACTCGATTCAGATGCCACCTCCTCCTGCTCTGGCCACCGAGACCCTCGTCTCTCGTGCAGGCGGCTGCTCGTCTCCGCCCTGCGCTTCTAGGAGGCAGACTCTGTCCCTGACGCCCCGCCTACCCCGGGGCCTCCCCAGGGCCCCCCCTATTGTGGAAAGGCCTCCCCATGGAGAGTAACGAGAAAGTTTTGAGATGTTGTGGGAGAAAACTGTGCTTGAGAATGGCTGGGAACTTCCGGGTGAAGAGCTCAGGACCCGTGTTGGGAGGACGGGCCGGCTCCACCGAGCGATGGGCCGTGAACTGAGCAGACCCGCCACGGGGCTTGATCTGGGAGGAACCCAGGTCCCTCCCGGAAGCTGCTGGGAAAATGTCTGGGTCCCTCAGAGAGCGCCCCCCTCAAGGAATCGCTACTTGACAGGGACTCGGGCCGCCCACATCTGTGCTCCGAGCCCCGAGCTCCTGGCCCCCCAAAGCCAGACCAACACCCATAGCCGAGCTCAGGGTTTATGCAACGTCCCTTTGCCTGGAGCTGAGCCGCCAGCGCAGGGGAGCACTGAAGGATCTGTGCTGGTTTCTACACACGGATTTTGGGGGTCCACTCCCGTAAAGGCTCGGGAAGGCACAGGGCACGGGCATCCGAGTTAGATACACCGGGTTCAAGCCACAGACCCGTCACCGACCACTCCCATTCCCTCTGCCCAGCGGGACATGGCCGTACCTGCCCCGTGCGGGGAACCCGGAGGAGAACACCAGGTACGGGATGCAGAACGCCGGGAGCCCTTGGCGCTAAGTCGCCGGGCAAGAGGTGGGGGCTTCGCCATCCTCACGGCAAACGGCACCGTCATTTTAGGGGAAAACACGCCATAAAATCAAGTTCCCCGTCATTCAGACATCACCGAGGGCGCCCCCTCGTGGGACAGCGGGGTGACCGGCTCAGCCAGCAGCTGACCGCAGGTCCATATTCTGGGACACCCATTTGATGGCAGGTCAAAGACAGTGACCAGTTGCTCAAAGATCCACTCGCACCCCGAAGTCTCCGGTCAGCGTGTCCCCGGGCAGCCGCCCCGCAGTGCCCCACGCCGCTCGCACGCGCAGCCGCCAGCACTCACAGCCTACCTCCGCCCCCGGGCTTGCTGGGTCCTCCGGGCGACAGCGGGCCGTTGCCGAAGCTGGTGAGGCTCTCTCTTCTCCCCGAAGGTCTGACGTTGCCATAGTAACGGTTGACCAAAATTTGCCTGAGCGCCTCACCCTGAATTCAAACAGGATAACGAAATCAGCTTCTGGATTTAATGCGTAACCGAGCGACTCACCATCAAAACGCGCAGGGGGGCTGGGGTGAGACTGGCGCGGTTTCGCTCGGCGAGCAGATAAATGATTAATGACAGCATTGGGAAACTCCGCGGTTAGCTCCTTCAGTCGTTTCTCGGGAAACCAGAGCATAAAAAAAAGGAGCAATCTAGAATATTCACTCTCTGAGCCCCCCCCCACCCCCCCAGATAAACAGAACATGCATCGTGAAGGGCAGCGAGCACTAACAAACATTAACCCAAAAGTCCCCTGGGGGTCAGCCAATCGGACACAATGGAAATACTGCAGGTCACCGTCCACAGAGGATCGAACCTGGGCCAGGGCTCCCTCCCAAGACCCCAGGGAAACAGGACGGCATCGAGTCAGACTCTGATGGAATAACAGGCTGAACGCGAGCCTTTCTGACAGAACCGTCCCTGGGCAAGCGGTGAAGGAAAACTATGCAACAGGAAATAAATGAGTGGCCGACACCAGACATCCGTCAAAAAGAAGCATCACGGGAGAGATGACATCAAGGCGGGGGGGGGGGGCCGAGCCGCGAAGGGTGTTACTTAAACACTAGAGGTGGGGCACGTGTGCCGGAGCTTGTCGAAGCTGATCCAAA